AAAATAAATTGGTAATAGTAATCAATATAAATCGTTAACATATATTTTAAATGTAAAAATAGGAGATTACAATTTTAAATATTGTAATTGTGAAACCAATAAATGTTATCAACATAGGGTATTATTAAGAGATGCCTACCATACACGCCGATATATCGACATTTGGGCCGATGTAGTGATCAGTTATTTCGTTAATAATGCTGAATATGAAAAATATGACGTGATTATTAATGAATTAATTGATCGCTCATCGGTCGATCTGGAGATTTATTTGCGTGAATTATATGAAAGATTATTTATCACGAAATCTGATTATGGGCATCAACGTTGGCTTAACGGTAGAAAATTTATTAGTAATACTTATAATAATAATAAAATTAAAACTAAAAGTTATTGGACTAGACTAATTTTTTTTATAAAGGTTGAAAATTATGTTTACTTAGATTATTTTAATTGCACGGAAAGATTGAGCTTATTTACAGGTAACAGTCAGAAGTTGAGGAGAGAATTTAAACATCGTCGTGCGATAGATCTTGTTTGTGTGTACAACTTAATTGTATCACATAAACAAGATGAATGTACAATGCCTATCGTTAATTTTAATTCGGATGGCGAGACTGTAGATGAGTATTCAGAGTGGTATATATAATTTGTAAATATTAATAAGTTTGTATTATTTTAAGTTAATTATTTTTCATAATTTGTATATAATATTAATAATACTTTAATGCTATCATAATTAGCAATTGTTTCTAGTGTTATGCATGTGACATGATGATGTACGGGAACAGGTATAGATCTTTAAACATATTTTTTTTTTTTTTTTCATATACATATTTCAATTTTACATCCTGAAATTTAACATTTTTACACGTGATAATGAATACTGTACAAGTATGTGCGGACAAATCCTCCATACAAATGCCTTATTATTTAACCGATACATGTATAGACGTCTTTATTTTAATAATAGTTAATATTATTTTTTAATATCATTATAATAATTCTGTTGCAGTGATTGATATTTCAAAGCAGAACGATACAATTACATTCCCGTCTTTTGACTTACGTATTGAGATTGAAGCATCAACCACGTTCCCGCTAATACGGCTGTATATGCTCTAATAATTTCATACAATGTATTTACTTATACACCTTTTGACAGAACTGTCCGTATATTTTAACATTTTTTACATAAACATGTAAACATTTATTATTCACCTTGTAATTATTATTATTATTATGAAATAAATATACTATATAAAAAAAAAAATTAATCATTTCATCATTGTTTGATTGTTGAATTTTAGAGACCGACCATCTACCGTCGGCGTATTGTATAATTCGGTCTATTTGACGGCTTAATAGTAAACATGTTTTTATTTTTCTTGATATTGCACTGTTAATAGTACACTGTTAGTCCATAAGTCTATTAATGTTTCCGTTATTCAATAACACTCGACACCCATCCACTATTCTGGATTCTAATACTAAATGCATGGTATCACGGTACAATACTTTGGTTATATTAAAATCGACATTTTGGTATAACATAATGTTCTCTCCTTTTACCGGAGGTGATTGTAGAAATAATGTTATTTCATCCCTCATGCCGTAAATAATATTTAAACAATCTGCTGACATACTAATATATCGTGAAGGAGTAATAATGCATACCGTAACATTGAAGTCATCCTTTGGATTCAGGCCCACTTGCAAAAATTTTCTGTCGCTGAACGCAATAGTGTAACTGCTAGAGTCAATCATCTCGGCTGGCGGTGTTGGTGCGATATAAATGTAGTGCTGTTTTCTTACAGGTTCGACAGCCATATTATTCATAGAGTAGAGTCTACTTTTTAGAGCTGATGGTTCTTGATGACACTGTGACTTTATCAACGATTTCATGCTCATTTATCAGGAAAAATCACATATTTTCATAGGGGGGTCAGCAAATCNAACAATCAAACAATGATGAAATGATTAATTTTATAAGAAGTTTGAACGACAAAGAAATATGCGATACTATTCCTAAAAGCGACAGTAATTACATAAGCGAGCTGAAGAATTTAGCGTACAACGTAATAGTTGATCATTGGGTCAAGTCATGGTCCGAGGGTACGCTTCAAATTAATGTGAGTATAATGAACATAGATTTTCATAACTTTTATTGTTATTAAATATATAATTATGTTTTAGGAAAAAGATGAAGAAATGTGCGATGAAAATGATGGACCAACATTTTTCAATACAACAGTGTATACCCGAGAAAATAGTTATAGTCCATGGACTTCACAATGGCAGAAACCCAATCACGACAGAAAATTAACTAACATTAATAATTTATAAACAATAACTTTATATATTGTACTAGTTTCTTATAATAAACTTATTATAAACTTAAAACATACGGACAGTTCCGTCAAAAGGTGTATAAGTAAATACATTGTATGATATTATTAGAGCATATACAGCCGTATTAGCGGGAACGTGGTTGATGCTTCAATCTCAATACGTAAGTCAAAAGACGGGAATGTAATTGTATCGTTCTGCTTTGAAATATCAATCACTGCAACAGAATTATTATAATGATATTAAAAAATAATATTAACTATTATTAAAATAAAGACGTCTATACATGTATCGGTTAAATAATAAGGCATTTGTATGGAGGATTTGTCCGCACATACTTGTACAGTATTCATTATCACGTGTAAAAATGTTAAATTTCAGGATGTAAAATTGAAATATGTATATGAAAAAAAAAAAAAAA